GCACAAGAAAAGTCACAAAATTGGTAAAATCGCTCTTTGATAGCCAATAAATTGACAGCCAAGCAAACTTCTAAACATTTGTATCGCTCTAAAGGTTCTTTATTAACATATCCTCATCTACCAAAAGCCTGTTCTATTTCTATTCCGTATTTTTGAAGTCTAATATCGTTTAAGCGAATTTTCAAAATGAACGCATGAGCCGAACTTTTCATGTGGTTTCATCAGATTGCAAAATGAACGCATGAGCAGGTGGATTTTTTGGTTACTCCAGTTTTCATGGATATCTCACAGTCATGTTATCGATCACTAAACCTTAAAATTCCAAAATTTTCGTTCTAAATGTTTGAGTAAACAGAAGTCCTAATTTTCATACCTTATAGTGAATTGGTTATAAGCAATAGATGAAGGTCTGTTCGGTTCTGTGAAAATATAATAAATCCTCATTGCTAAAACTTTGAGTAAAATATTTGCAAAATACAACAACATCATTGGTTGATGGGACTTAAATTTCCAGGATGTTATAATTAAAGATATAACATACACTTTTTATGTATACAAAATTTTATGTTCTTATATGAAAAATCTTTGGCTCAAATAAAGAATTAAGAATGTTAAAAGTTACAGAAAACCTTTTTGATAAGGATTTTGCCAAAATTTAAAATTTCCGATGATAAAAGGAGATAATTAGAAATCTGTTTTTGGCAAAAAAAAATCAGTTTTGCATTCAAATAAAATTTCACAACCTATTTTCCCCAATAAAATCATATAATGTGTTTAATAATATCAACCTTTTCAGTATATGTTTTTCATAAGAACAGACTTTATATACAACTTTCGCAAGGATGTTACATCCTTAATTATAACATACAGGATCTTTAAGCAAGAATATATATATATCACCTTCCTTACAACAAAATGAACATACAAGAAAATGTTGAAATAACACATATTTTTTGGTTCATTATAAGTTTTTCTTTTAGAAATAATACACTTTTTATTTTAATGAAGAATGGGCAAAGTATTTATCAAAATGTGTTTCTAATTACCTAATTAGTTATTAATTATTTACAGACGATAATATCTATATAAGATTTGTAATATTGGTAATTCTTTATTTGAGTATAGGATTTATCATATTAGACTATTAAAGTTTTGAGGTACAGGGACTTTAAAAGAGTATACATACGCTATTATTTGTCATTTGTCCTTTGTTGTATTTGTTGTTTAATATTATTCATGTATGATAGTAATTGTATACAATTATTCAGGATTCATGATTTAATTATCAAAGTACGTATTTTGTAAAACAGTCATTTACAGTCATGTGTGCAAAAATCAAGGATTTTTTTCAAAGTGTCATGTTAGATTATAATATAAATCAGCTTAATGTCGTCCGTTGTTGATTTTATTCAACATGACAAGACTTAGTCATCTCTCCGTTTTATGTATTAAACAATATTCATTTGCTTAAGTTATTCAATAAGAGGTTGTTCATTAAAGCTGATTATATGTGTATTCACAGATTTAATTTTGGCCATGAGGGAAAAAAACCCACCTTGCGTATATATTATGTACAAGACAATTTGCACAGTGCAATTATTATTTCTTACCAAATCATAAGCATGTCGACATGCTACATGAATTTCGCATTAAAATGGCTTTAATTTAGTTATCAATGAATTGTACCTTTGCATTGGACGGCATATAGCACCATATGTACACTACCAAGATTTACTGGGCTTACATAAACATTATTCTATAAACTTGTAATTTGTTGTTTAAAAAGGAACTTTATATCGAAATGTTGAATATTTAAACGTGATTCGTGTATAATATATTTTCATATGCTCATACTATAAAAACAGGGATGAAATAACATGTATTGGAGAAATTCATGAAATTACATCAATGCTACAATCGTTTACAAGTTTTCGAGGAACTATTATGCTTTTCTTTGTCGTCTAAACCACTGCTTTTGCAAATATACAAACGAGGAATTACTTCAATTTCACAAATTTTTCCCAACAGACCTCGTACTTTTGCTTATTAGCATATATATACAGCGTACAAAGTATATTTTAATTTGTAAAATGAAGTGTCTCTCACTTATTTGGAATAAAATTTGAAATTTTTAAAGTTTGAATATGTTTAATTTGTTAGATAATTAGGAAAAATTGGAGTTTTGAAAATACCACCTGCTCATGCGTTCATTTTGCAAACCTATGAAACCACATGAAAAGTTCGGCTCATGAGTTCATTTTGAAAATTCGCTTAAACGATATTAGACTTCAAAAATACGGAATAGAAATAGAACAGGCTTTTGGTGGATGAGGATATGTTAATAAAGAACCTTTAGAGCGATACAAATGTTTAGAAGTTTGCTTGGCTGTCAATTTATTGGCTATCAAAGAGCGATTTTACCAATTTTGTGACTTTTCTTGTGCAGTTGTCGATAATGATCTAGTAAGTTAACAAAGATTTGGCGAGTTTGAGATGCCTGTCGGATAAAGTAATCATACGAGATCAGAATAGGCTATAAAGTTTTGTGAAATATGCATTTTCAAAGAAATTGAAGACAATTTTCTTACCACAGTATCGGTTTTCCACCTGTAAAATTGATCTCTTCATGCGTTCTCCGCCTGGGAAACATAGTGAACGATTGGACTCGGTGATATTATATTGATTCTAGTATATGATATTTTAGGAACATGTTTCAACTGGCTATTATTTGTTTTTGAATAGATAAATTATAAATTCATTTTTAGATAAATGGGATACAATACGTTATACATTTACATATAAAATATTTAACTTTATCTAGATGTTATATCTGTTTAAATAAACTGTACACTGTTTTAGTTTATTATCAGATAAAATATATTGAATTGATATGTCACGTAAATTGTAAAGTAGTAAAATAAAATCATGTCCTAAATAGCAATAGCATCGCATGAGGTGTTTAAAATTCAATTTTTAAAATAAGCATAAAATATAGCTTTTACAACTATGCCCCTTGCCTGATCGATTGATTTTCTTTAGACCGGGCGGTCAATGATAACCTACGAAAGTGCAAGCAATTTTTCCAGTAGGGTCCTCAGCAAACTCTAGATACAGCTATGAGATACAAGGGAGTCCGGGAACCAGTCCATAAGCTCTTATTGAATAGCTTCCTTGGTTCTTATACATGCCCAGTATATAGCACTGATACATGCAAGGATTACCTTGGTTTCATACCAGTAAGCCTCTGGGTATGTGGGAAACACTGAAAATCCCAAGGGTATTACCAAGCATCGAACCCGGAACCTCAGGAGTGACAGTCGGTGTTCTAACCAACTGAGCTATCGCGCCACCTCACAACTGCAACTGATCATGATAAACAAGTATCCCAAGTTTCATGTTGATAACTATTAAAATGTTTATATTTTGGGCTACATTACAGTTTTTACACGACGACGACGACGATGAAGCAACTATCTTAATAGCTCGACTTTTCTTCGAAACAGTCAATATTTAATCAAAATGAATATATAATTTTGTGTAAGTATAAACACGTTCTGTTGGTCCATAGCAATGTGAAATGGTCAACATTGTATTATGTTATTTGTGAGTAGGCATGTTAAGACATGGTCACTCACCGGACAAAAATCGTTAACTAGTTCTTTCATCTGATATGCTATTTCATGTATTTAACCACTACGTTGTTCCGTTTGGACAATCGTGATTTCTTATTTCGTCATTATCCGCGATGCACGATGGCACGATGGTGAAAACGCAATGGTACGATGGTGAAAACACGATATAACATCGCGATTTCACCATCGTACCATCGGGTTTTCACCATCGTACTATCGTGTTTTCATCATCGTGCATCGTAGGTAAGGACGAAATAAAAAAAAATCACGATTGTCCAACGGAACACCGTTATCTAGTGGGTTGTAGTAAATCGGTTGGCAGTAGCAAGAATTGTGTCACAATAACCATTTTCTTACTTGTACATTGTATAGATCTGTGAGTTTTGTGGGCTAATTTATTTTAACATAAGTTTTAAGCATATTCAGTGTGAATTTGTTTTCTCCAGTGCCTCCAAGGTTATTGATTCTGATTCCTAGCTTTTCATATTGAAAGATGATAGAAAATTTATAAATGTAGATAAAACTAAATCGCCATACCAAGTGCACAAATTTAAGGGTCATGACAATATTAAGTTCTGGTTTTATCTAGCAAACTTTTCATGGGAAAAAATTCTGTTCCAGAAATTTCCTGTATTGAAGATGTTGAGATACTTTCATTTTAATTTTGAGGAAATATCCTGGTTTGCTGAGAATTAATGCATAACATTTAGAGTTTGTACAATCCTATTTTACAAAAAAAAAGAACAACAACAATCGTATTATAATTATAAATTTCGCAATTTATGATGTCTCTTTCTGAGAAATTTTGTTTTGACCAAAGTAAATGGAAAAAGTCCGAAAATCTCCCGAAAAATCACGTGACAATGGTCTAAAACCGACTCGTGAGAGAAGATTTTTGATTACTTCGAATATTATTATCATTCTATTATTGTTTTTTCTTATTTTATGTTTTTTTTATCATTTATCTTATTTTCTATATTTTTATTATTATTATTGTTATTATTATTTTTTATTATTATTAATGTTATTATTATAATTATTATTATTATAATTATTATTATTATTATTATTAATGTTGTTATTATTATTATACGTGCGCGCGTGCGCGCGTGTGTGTGTGTGCGTGCGTGCGCGTGCATGCGTGCGTGCGTGTTTGTGTTTTGCAAGGATTTAAGTTAAACCAGGGTCTTTCAAATAGAAAGACCTTAGTTAAACATGCGTCAAATCTTATATAAAGCTTTGCTTGAAGAAAAAATAATCTTACTACTTTTTCTGTAAAAAAAAAAAAGAACGAAAATAATTGAATTGGCCTTAACAGGATACCTTACTGAAATATTTAGTACTATATTTACCGCTCACGTAATTTGTTAATCATTTTTAAAATTGGTCAATGTATATATAGATCGTACATTTCATTCAAAACGCTTACGAGATAGTGTAGTGTCATAATAAAAAATGGACTATAATAAGAATTTTAACTATTATAAGAATTCAGACAATTATAAGAGAATGGTTAGTTTATATATTTATTTTAAAATATTCAACAAGCATGGTTTATGGTTGTTTGTTTAAAACCACTATGACTGTAGTTGTTATAAATAACATACCATATACATGTATTTCTTTACCAAATAATACTATACTATTATTTTTATTTCTCAAAGTGGTCTGTTAAAGGAACACATTGGCAATATATCTAAGCGAAAGTGAAATAGTAAAAACACGAAATTATATCTAGTTTTCACCATCGTGGTTTCGTTATTTCGAACCTTCGACTTTTTACCATCGTGGTTTCGTTGTGTCGCGATTGCGCTAAAGAGACACCGTAGTAATTTGATATGCATTTTTAACTATTTCATTGGGTAGTCAAAACTCTTTTGTGATTTTCACTATTACTTAATTATCATTTTATTTTTTAATGAGAGACAGAATTGATCTTTCCCTTTCACCGCATCGGTGAAGAGTATTTAGTCTTGTTACTTGAATTATCTCTCATTCTTTCTGGTTGTTTAGAAAACCTGCATTTAAACCAAACCCTGGATTCCCATAATAAATGTAAACTTCCGACTCATGAATGGAGTGGTCTATTCAATGCTATTTTATAACGTAAATTTTCTTACGAGGAAGTAAAAATGCATGTATCAATTTACAAGTAGCTTTTAAAAATGTACTGTGTCCTTTAGTTTACATAGAATTTTTATTTACGAAAAAAAAAACGGAAGTAAACTGGGAACGGCTTATTATAAACAGATAATCATGCACCGATAGCAAACAATATTTCAGATAATAAAGTCAAGTGTTTTTCAATAAATGTGGTAACCCAATTTATGATCGCGGCAAAGGGCCGACAAATCAAGATCGGTAAAATGAATATTCGCGGGTTTGCAAGTTTAATACTAATTTTTTCCTAAAGCATTTTAAGCCATCTCCAGTAGTTTCACTTTGAAATATAAACGGTATCATGATGTATTGCTATTTTATATTTTTTTTATATTATATTGCTATTTTTTTACTGATAAAAGAAAAAAGAAAGAAATATAGATAGCCGTATTTTCACACATTATTTTAAATGCTTGATTTTCAATTTGACTTTTCTCTTGTATTCTAGTACCAGTATGACATGGGTGTAGAGATGGAAATCAGAACAGTGTTGTCAATGTTTAATGACTTGAAGCCAACAATGGAAACAACAAGTAAGTTGTGAGATGTATTTTTTATATTTTTATTGAACGGGAAATTATACACAGAAAATTCACAACTGATGGGTTTTTTGTTTTCACATGGCGGGACATATATATGTCTATAACACTAATATGCACTAATAACTTGTGTACAAAATTTCAGATCATTCACTCACTTTGTTTTGTTTCCAGACTAGTAACTTAAATTGTGCAGGATGACCTAAATATGAAAGGCATTTAAACTCAAGAATCGTTAAATATCAATTTTCAGTTTAATTCAAAGTATATTTCTTATAAGGTTTCTCATATTTTACATTTTAATCGCCCTTGTTGATCTTTGTTAGATTAGCAAATACAGTGGAGTTCCTTTAATGCCAGGAATTGAATATAGCTAATGTCGGTGCTGGGAGGGGGTGTAAGAGGCGTTATATCTGCCATTATCTATGAAGAGTAGACTTAATCAAACCGAGAGTGCTTTTTGTTTTACAATCATTTTCTCTGTTCAAGATTCATACATCTATTCACATAATGTAATTGCAGTCTATATATATATTAACTAGACCTTCATATAGTAGTCCGTCAATGTTCATGACTCGATGCGGTTTACACAAGGAATGATCTTATAGTGATTCGTTAAATTAATATGTAAACATATTTTCCTTCGGCTTAAAAACAGAGCTTAGTATTGCTGTAAATTTCATTAAAAAGAGTTCATAAGTTATGATTTTGAAAGGAAAACCCCGCGGTTACACTAAAGTTCATATACACATTTTAACATGCAAATGAAGACTAGTACAATTAGGTCGTGTATGCGTATGCCACAGCGGAAATTGTTACCATGTGGATCAACAAACTTTTACCGTTTTAGTTTCAATGTGCAGTAGCCCCGTCGTTCTCAAAAAAGTAAACATCTCATAAAATATCTAATTTGTATGAAAACATCCGTTATATAATGCGGAAATAAACCGTTAAATTCGGACTACTGGTTGATTTTCCATTGATGTACGGGTAACCCAAAGGCGAAGTTTCTCATGCAAATAGAAATTGTACTTCCGATTTCGCCAAAATTAGGTTGCAGAATTTTAGTCTTATAAAACTCATTTTGGTTGTCTTGATACCAAATTAAGAACGGGAGTCGATATGAAACATATTTAATTAACGAAATGTATAGCTTTTTCTTTTTTATGAAATTTATTTAATGCAGCTTTAATAAATGTCCGTTTGATCTATTTTAATTCTTACACAGTGTTTATATGTTGTTGCAAAAACAAAACTGGAAAATGCAAAGTAGATCTACCCTAAAAGAAATGAATCAAAATTAAGGAGTTGAATATCAAAGACTCTTCTTGAAAAGATGATGGAAATTGCAGCATTCCTACTCCCCACTCCGGCACCGGCTTGAACATTAATCAGTCTTTGAATTTAAAAGTAATGGTCCTATGAACATATATAACATCACTGATCAGATGTTAGACATTTATTAATTATATACCGGTATATCGTTAACTAACAATATCTAGTTCAGGTCACGATTACCTCCCTGCTTATAACTTGTTTCCATTTATAATTTCCCAGTTTGAATGTTTGAAAATGTGCTCCAAATCGTGGAAGAATAATTTATATACTTCTAAATAACACACTTCTTCTAACTGAGGCAAAATACTTATATTCTATAATTTTTTGCACCTACATTGTATTTTTTACAGAATTTATTATAAAAGTCAAGTTGTAATCTGTTGGATATATCAAATCTTGCACAAGGAAATAATACGATTTGACCTCATACGGCCATCAAGCTTTAAATTTCTCTGTAATTTATTATATATGTATATACGAATTCCAGCACATTAACGTAGTTTAAAGAAATTTAAATCGTTATTTTATTTACTAGTATCCCTTTTATTTAAACAGAGCTTCCTAGTGGCGAGGAAAAGATGTTTTATAATTTACATGGAACGGTTCCAATGCCTTATAATGGTAGGTAATCTGTTAACATATAACTATATATAAGTCAATATATCATGTTGACAATGAAAAAACTTCCAGCTATAAGCAAGAATATAAACTCACACAATCAGTAAACAATGTTCTTTTGTACGCTATCATCATTTGAATCAATATCAAATTATTCTAAGAAATAAGAATTAAAAAAAAAAATTGTGCAAATTTGTTGATGAAAATAAAGAAATTTAGAAAGACTAAAATGAATTGTGCAAATTTGTTGATGAAAATAAAGAAATTTAGAAAGACTAAGACTTCTTAGGACTTTCGTTATTTACAATATCAAACAGATTTGTTTTATTCTGAATTGCACATATATACAGCATTTGATAATGTAAGAAAATACTATGAATTTCCTTAATTTCGTGCACATGAAATTTCGTGGTTTTGTAGCAAGGAACGTTTTCGTGGGTACAACAATTCGTGGAGTTTATTTTCCAAAAGGTAAAAGGTAAATAATGTGATGCAAAAAAAAATCTTACAGCAAACGAAATGAAATTACGCCGGATCTTAAATTCGTGGATTGTCCTGTACCAATTAGTACTCCTCCATGAATAATAATAAATTTGCAGTAGATGCTGTATTCTTCTTGGACATAGACTTAACGTTTAAAACAAGTTACAGGCACTCCTCATACGAACTATTTACGTAAAACATTTTTCTTCTTGTAAGCGTCTAATTATTACTTTAACCTCAGAAATTAATATCATTTCTCAACTAGAAAAAGAGAGCAAGCATGCCTGTTGAATAGTATTTCAATTATGGATTAAAAGTATAATATCACCCGATAATTAAAAATAATGATTATTATAAAACGTGGTACTTTGTCTTCTCCACAAAAAGTATACCACATTCATATAACGTGGTCGTAAAGTAAAATGACCAAGTAGTTTGCAATATCTCTAAAAATAATAGTAATGATCTAAAAAAAAAATAAATAAATAATAATATAAATGATTATAAAATTTGTTCAGGAATGATGTACAACTTACCTATAAGTATACGAATACCTGACAAATACCCCCAGGTACCCCCAGAAGTGTATGTTGTACCTTCATATTGGATGTACGTCCGGGAAAGCAAGGATGTCGATGAAAATGGAAGGGTTCGTGTATATCTTCTGGAGAATTGGCATAAGGTGAGAAAAGAATAAAGTATACCATTTGTATACAATTTTACGTAAGATAATTTTTTTTTCGCCAATTCTGCTTGATGTATTTGGGCATGAAGTATGTCTTGATTTTGTCGGTTGCTACTTTCTAGGAACGTTGTTCTGTGGGTTTTTTATTTTAAATGATATAAAGCTTTATCTTAAATTGTTTTATATATATTTAAGTAAAATCTCTAACTTGCCGTATATAATCAAAAACGCTAATTTTAAATTGGTCGTAGCTTTCGGCCTCGCGGCCTTCTTCAGCAGCATTTATTTTACATACAAATATATCAAAACAAAACAATGGAAGTGATATATATATATAAATCTGATCAAGAGTAAAATTACATTGTTACTATAATCGTATGGTCGATTCTTAAAATGTCTTAGTTATTTTTTACACATGCATATTGTGCGTATACAGAATAAAATGTTCCGGAACAAAATATTATGCTGCTAATTTTAGTATGGTTTAGGCTATTTAGTAATGATTTATTACATGCGCCATAAGAATATTTCTTTTTATACACGCACTTTGGAAGAAATCTTTTACACAATAAGAATACTATTTTTACTAAATGCATTGACCTGTTCGTTAAAAACAGTACATTTATTCTATATTTGTATAGTTTACGTCTATGTCGCTTACAAGGCTGATGAATGAGCTGGTCAAAGTGTTTAGTCAGAATCCACCTTTAGGTTCTTTAACACAACTTAGCACACTAGACGGTATGTTAACACTATATATTTCAAACAGTATTGGTGGTAGGGTGGTGTTAGTTTTTCCTCCGAATCACGACAGTATGCCACTTTTAATCACCAGGACACAGTTAAGCCACCGTATTGTTCCAGGGCAGACTGCCAAGCGGTTAACTAGCACTAGTTGCCTTCATTGCGCAAGGATCTGTAGATGTCAGAGTGGAAGTACAGTGCGAATGACCGTACAAAATGTTTCGAGATCAATTACAACGAAAATGGCCTGCAACGTTCAGGAATCGAACGCGGGTTGCCCGATTCGCAATCCCACGCTTTACCTATTGATCTAACCTGACGGTTTTATAATTATTTAAATGAATAAAAGTAATACTGATATTGTATTTTTATTGTATATATTGTTTTATTGTATATATGTAAATATCTTAGACAAAACAAACAATTCAGAAAGTTTATTAATTTATACTATTTAAGCGCATCATATAAAATTGTTAACAAGAGTTTTACAAAATTATTGACCAACAAGAGACAAGAGAATGTTTACGCCATTATAATGTCATGAAGTAAAGTGCGTGTAGTTACGCTTCAAAAATCTGGAAAAAAATGACAAAAGACCGTAAAAAGATATAATAGTTGGTTTGTTTTTCATGTCAGCACTAGTGAACACCAGCTCCGCTTTTTCGCCCGTATTCACAAAGATTTAAGGACCAGGATCAGGATCAAATCTAAAACCTCAAATATTCTCCATTGTTTAGCGTTTAGATGAAATAAATATTTTTTAATAACTTGATAAAACTGTACTTGAAATAGAATGTTAAAAGAAACTTAAGAATAAATTTTTTGTTACATTTTTCAAGAAATGGCTATTTAACGGTTGATCCAAATATTGATCTTGATCCTAAAATTGATCCTTATTTTGATCCGATTATTTCTGTATTTGATTTGTTAATCGTCGATTTTATCCCAAAATAAATTTGTTTCTTTGCAAATCAACAATTTTTTAACATTTTGAATATGTACCATTTCATTATGGCAAAATCCGATCAATTTTAGTTTTATAAAACAATGGTTATAAAGTCAGGATCATTTGATACTGATTCTGATCTTTTCTTTGGTGAATGTATGAAATATATTTTGATCATACAAAGCAAACAAAATATCTGTATATTTTACAGCTCGGACAGAGTATATCGCAAAATTGCAACTCAAGGGTGTAAGTATAACTTTTTATTATAAGCATATTTTCATTTTTCGTATAGTTCTTTACTGCAGTGAAAGATATTTTCCTTATTTTACTGGTGTCTCGACGGACTACTTTATCTACATTTAGCAAATACACAAAAGTAAAGGGGAATCTTTCGAATCATAAGGTCAAAAAGAGTTAAAGTATATGAAAAACAGAAAATCCATGATTTTTTTTTGTAAATATAGGATATATTTTCATCTCGTGGTTAGAAAATTATCACATTTCACTTGTGGCTACCGCCACTTGTATTTTCATACCACTTCGTGAAAATTATTTTTATACTTACTGAAATACACTTTCAAGAATATCCTCTATATATGAAAAACGTTAGGTTATGTAGCCAAAATACGTCGAATACCGGAATAATTATGACAATGTTGTCACAACAAGTTTTCATATTACTAGAACTATAGATGCAGAGGGAAATGTTTATAATAATTTGAAAATGCAATGGAAAGGTGAACAATTTATTATTAGTAATAAACAATGAAGGAAGCCTGTATTTATATATTGTGTATGATTTGACATAAAAGATATGATTATTACAACCGCTTTCATCTTCTTCAAATACTAGTAGTTCTGCAAATAAGATTTTGTGAATAAGTAAAAGTATGTTATAAGATAAGTAAATGATTAAGCTTGCCTTTTTTATAACTAGAGGCTCGGGGAAATGAAAACTGAGAAAAATTGTTTTAAATAACTCGAGACAGGCAAACTGACCAGAAATTGGCAAATATGTTTTGTTGCTTATTTAAACATAACATTAAGAGCTGAAAACATGTAGTTTTAGAATGACCGCCAATACGTCCATACAGTACAATAATATGTCTAATAGAATTTATGTCTTTTTTTTGTTTTTTTTTTGTTTTTTTTTAATTCAGAAGTTTGATGATCCGATCAGGACCAAACAAGATGTTGTTACTGCCATGGAGACTTATTTAGATTTATATGGAGCATTCGAAGAACATTGTACGTACTTTTACCTCATATAGACGTGTTTTGATGGCTTTTCACACCCTCCTTTGGAGGCCTCAAATAGTGAAAAAGCCCTATTCAGATCCCAAACACCATTTTTCGTTTGAGAAATGTTGTTAAAAATGAGACCACTTTTTCAGCGCCTATCAAAAAGGTACATCAAGGGGGTGCCCCCGTTGCCGTGGTAACAGGAAATTTAAGATTGAGAATGCTGTTACAAAGGCTATGGTCCAGTCAACATTTGTGCCAAGTTTGATCAGTATGGAAGCATTTTTTATAGTTTCATAGCAATTGGAACTTGTAACAGGAGGCTTTTCAATGAAAACAGCCGTTTTTCACAATAATTATGCTTATGCAGTAATATGTTAAAGTATCAGACATATTATAGTTGCGCCATTTTTTTCTGGTTTATAACATATACAATGTTTGTCTTTTGTGCTGTACACACTGTAAATGACTGAATGTGTGTTTTTGTTTTTTATTTATTTATTTTCTTATTCCTCGTTCACATTTGGAAAATGTACAATATGCATACACTATAGTTTAAACTGGTATTGGCATTTTCAGCATTACCAGACGGAAGAAAGAGATTTAACTTGACGCTACAGGGTGCGGCTCCTGGTAAGACCTTCTTCACATTTAGAAAGTTTTAAAATTAAGTCTCCAAAAAATGCTATTTTTGTGCGTGTGGTATTACTGTCTCCGGGACGTAACTCATATGCTATCTATCTGAATCATGTTTTTTTTCGTCTTTTTGCCATCATAGTTTCAACGATTTCTGTTGACGTTATAATATTGCAGTATAATACTTGTACTCGTAACTAAATTCAATGGAAATTGACATTACAATCTAACAGAATTTTATAACATCAAAATCACCTAATGAAAGTTAGCAATAATTTAAACATCAAGATTATCCAGTGAAAATTTATGTTACAAACCTGTACAAAATGTATAATTAACATATAATATTTGCTAGGAGTGCAGTTTCCTTTCCCGTTCTGTATACAACTGATGAATGGATACCCTAGTCAGCCACCTATGGTGTTTGTTGTACCAACTACCTTCATGAACATTAATCATGAAAGATGCGCTTATGTGGATAGAACTGGAATAGTGAGCACGCCATATCTTGAAAGGTGGAATACACATGTAAGCTGATGGGGTTTTTTTAAATGAAGAAATGTCTTTTATATAAATGTTGGGTTTAAAAAAAAAGTCTTTGGATAAACTTGATTTTGTGATATAAATAGTATTTGATAAAATATGACAAATTCCATTCATTAAAATAAAACGATTCAGTTGTCAAATTAACTGTTTGATATTGTACATGTATAGTTAGTTTATTGCGACATAGCAAACGTAACAAAATTAAAGCATACAGAAGGGAGATCTATATCACGGTGATAGGGCGATTACCGCAACTTTTCCGAGCAACGTCAAAATATCTTACTTCTGTCCGAGACACCGTATATTTCTGCGGTACAAAATGGACAGCAAGCCTGTAACCGAGACGAAAACAGCAGATAATTTGCTCAAAACAAGGTAAAATCATCATTTTTTTCTTTTTCATCGAATGTGCCATTTAATTTTAAACTTATTTATCTTTACTACATGCAAAATGCTTCATTAATTAAGTCAGGATAGTGAAAACATTTAGGGCATACTGAAAAAAATCTTGCTTTCATTACGAAATATAACGTATTTCTAGTCCGTTCAGTTCATATAAGTGGTAAAATACAATATAAATATGTACATTATTGTCGTATGAACAAGTTACAATACTTAAATAACCCGTTTTTGTGTATATTTGGTATGATTTTTATGTTTCCACGTGTGTTTTTTAAGGCACCGCACAACTTTATCAATCATAAGATTAGGGCACCGCATTATTCCTCCTTAAAGTCACCGCATGTTTCTGTTTTTAGCACTGTTTATTTTTGATACAATGTATTAATGTTTGCTTTCAGAAAAAGAAGACGTTCAAACCTATGTCTGAACAAGCCAAAACAACGTGCGAAATTAGCAAAGCTGCAGATACTGCAGCAACCGGAGAGCGCCCAACTAAGTCTTCTGATATCAGAAGTACGCCAATGGATCAGCGCCTCCCTGTATTTCAGGACGATATGCTTAACGCACCCGATAAGAAAAAGAATATGGAGTCAAACTTTCGCAAAAGATTGTTTAAAAAAAGCACATTGGAGACCATGACTGAAGAGATTATGGAAATATTACCCGGGTTCCTGCAAAAACTACACCATGAAAATTTATTTTATGACTTTTGCAACTCTATGAAATTAGTATGCAATAAGAAATTCTTATTAACAAATATTTCATTCCTTTTATTTCTCGATGTTGTTAGATGGTATAGTCTGCCAAGAACTTCAATCTTTCTATGTAGGGTTTATCAGGAAAAGGAAAATACATCCTTATCTATATATAGATACAATTGCAGTTATCTTACTGGTAGTATTAACACAGATCAGACCTCCAGAAATTTTCCATAACATAACGTATGATAACAACATCAAGTAAACAATCTTTCATCAAATAAAACATATTTGTAAGAAGATTGTATAATTCAAAAGAATTCGGTGCCAGTATTTATCGGTCTAACGGAAAAAGAATGCGGTGTTTGAATTCAGTGTTGTACGGTGCTCCAATATTCTGGTCAGTAGACCTTTTTCAACATATAATCCCTGAAATTTACCTGAACTTAGGGTTAACCATAATAAATATACGAGCTCGTTAGGTCATAGAACAAAGACATCGTCGTTATAACACATGTTTTTGTGACAAGTACGAGTCATGTTGAGGTACACACGATCTTTTGTAAACACTATTTCTTCAAGGTATGTGTTTTTTTGTGAATTGTATTGTGCTAGATTAACGATAAATTGTCTAAAAAATTCGATGGAATACTTAAACAATTGGAATAATCTTGCAATGTCCAGCAGTAAGATATTTTGTAAGCTATTACCTGGAATTTGTCTATCCCGCCATTAATATTTTGTCCAGAAATATACGGTGTCTCGGTCAGAAGGATGATATTTTGACGTTGCGCGGAAAAGTTGTGGTAATCGCCCTATCACCGTGTATATCAAATTATGTTCGATCTGAATATATATAGTCTCTTAAAAACCATCTTGTCTATTGTAAACAATGTATTCATGTGGTTTTACTTATTGATAATTTATATGAACATCTTAACGTTAATTGTTATATGTTTTATATTATCAGAGGTGTGACCTACTTGGTTTAATACAAGACATATACATGAAGTTTAGAAGCGATCCACCTCTGCTGTTAAACCATGACCATCAACAGAGAGGACCAGCTACAATGATAAATGGTGCAAGTTTAAGTTTTCTCTTTTCAAAAACGGTGTTGCGTAATATTACCACGCGTGTAGTTACGCCTGCGACACCACACCCTGATCTTACTTATCAAATATAAAAGTTTCCAGCCATATGTTTAGTAAATGCAATGTTCAGATCAAAGAAAGATTCAATGGTTTGATACATAATTTGAAGAAGAATTTAAAGCGAATGTTGTGTTTATTAACTTTATTTTTAATGCAATAAAAATCAATTTATATGGCAATATTTTATTTAATTGAGACGACTTCTTCTTGCCATGAGATAATGACATGCCAAACATTTGTCATTGCAAAACTAAAAATCCTGAGTATTCTTTTTAAATATTCTGCAATTGTTCCTATCTTATTGTTTTTTTTAATTTAATGTGTCCATATGACTCGGATGCCCCCCCCCAACATTCCACTGTTTTGTAAGTCTACTGATGTACAGCAGGACAATATGACAGACGGACAGGCATGTCGACATCTTGATTTTTCCCAATATTGAGCTTCAAGAATTGCAAATCTCTTTTTTTTTCAAATTTTATATCCTGAAGCATGCATTAAAGAAAATAAAACAAGCAATTCCCCAAATGCACAATAACACATGCATATTTATGATAATTATAGCTTTACACTACAAACAATTTATTCCATATTCACATTTACTTCAAGGGACGTCTGGTTTAGCATCGAGAGATGATCTATCAATCGGCGGTTATGTTCCGGGAAGGAAAGCCAAGATACATTCAGAACAAGTTGCTGGTAAACGTGCGTCGGATAACCTAGATGATTATACTCTTGCTTCAGCTGAATACTTTGATACTTATTGTGATCCTTGTCATAAAGACAATGTTAACGTTGAAGCCGGTGGATATTGTAAGGATTGCAATGTTCACCTTTGCGACGCATGTATTCGATCTCATCGCAGAAATTATTCCAAAAGATATCATAACATTTTACTTCAAGACAAAATACCAAAACCGTAAGTGTCTTCTGACAAATAGCTGTAATCGGAGACCTCCCACTAGATTATAGTTATGTATGTGGGACTTAAATGAACAAAATGAAATGAGTCGTGCCAGGTTAGGGGCATCATATATGATTTAACTGTTGACTAATTAGTTATGTGATAATTATGTTTAAACACTTTATTGTGTAAAGAGTTTAAATAGCACTTTTTTGTTCATGGACAATACCATGTTAAGGTGATTGTAAACCGTATAGTCTCAAAAATGTTTTTTTGTGTTTTTTGTTGTTGTTTTTTTGTTGTTGTTGTTTTTGTTTTTTTTGTTATGAAATAATTAAGTAAGTTATGTACATTTTATGTCTTATCATTTAAGGACTGCATAAGTTTTTCACTCTCTAGACAATAAGATAATGCATATACATTACATATGATAATATCAATAATTTAAACATGTTTTTGTTGAATAAATATTGATGTTATTAAAATTTTGTGCTGCTCAATATGTTATATTTATACAAAGATTCCAATAGTTCATGGTAACCACCTATTACAGGTGACGCATATAGTGAAAACTAGCAAAGGTCTCTAAGTTAAAACCGACTCGATAATAAGACCACTTCTACAAGGGCTCCAAAGCGGTTATAATAGAGACACGTTACTGTATATAGTTCATTGACCCCAACATACATAAAGCTCACTTTTTTATCTTTATTTGATATTCATGAAGTCATGTGTCTAATTCTACATGTGCTCTGTTACATACCTACAATGTCAACATGTGTTCTGCTACATGCCTACAATATCGAACATGTGCTCTGTTACATACCTACAATGTCAACATGTTCTCTGTTACATACCTACAATGTCAACATGTTCTCTGTTACATACCTACAATGTCAACATGTTCTATGTTACATACCTTCAATCTTAAACATGTGCTCTGTTACACACCTACAATGTCAAACATGTTCTCTGTTACATACCTATCCAGCTAGCTTACGGAACGTCGGTGGTTCTACTCAGGTACCCGTTCGTGCCTGAAATAATGCACGGAAGGGCACCTGAGGTCTTCCTCCACCAGTAAAGCTGGAACGTCGCGATATGACCTATACTGTGTCGATGTGACTTAAAACCAAAAACAAACAAACAAACATACCTACAATGTCAAATATGTTCTCTGTTACATACCTACAATGTCAAATATATTCTCTGTTACATACCTTCAATGTCAAACATGTTCTCTGTTACATACCTACAATGTCAAACATGTTCTCAGTTACATCCCTACAATGTTTAACATGTTCTCTGTTACATCCCTACAACATCAAACATGTACTCTGTTACATACCTACAACATTAAACATGTACTCTGTTACATACCTACAATGTTAAACATGTACTCTGTTACATACCTACAATGTCAAACATGTTCTCTGTTACATAACTACAATGTCAACATGTTCTCTGTTACATACCTACAATGTCAAACATGTTCTCTGTTACATACCTACAATGTTAAACATGTGTTCTGTTACATACCTACAATGTTAAACATGTGCTCTGTTACATACCTACAATGTTAAACATGTGCTCTGTTTACAATAACTACAATTTCAAAAACATGTACTCTGTTACATAACTACAATGTCAAACATGTACTCTGTTACATTCCTACATTATCAACATGTTCTCTGTTGCATACCTACATTATCAACATGTTCTCTGTTACATACCTACATTATCAACATGTACTCTGTTACATACCTACAACATCAAACATGTACTCTGTTACATACCTACAATGTCAACATGTACTCTGTTACATACCTACATTATCAACATGTTCTCTGTTACATACCTACAACATCAAACATGTACTCTGTTACATACCTACAATTTCAAACATGTACTCTGTTACATAACTACAATGTCAACATGTTCTCTGTTACATACCTACAATGTCAAACATTTTCTCTGTTAATACCTAGAATGTCAACATGTTCTTTGAAACATAACTACAATGTCAAACATGTGCTCTGTTAAAAACCTACAATGTCAAAGATGTACTCTGTTACATACCTACAATGTCAACATGTTCTATGTTACATACCTTCAATCTTAAACATGTGCTCTGTTACACAACTACAATGTCAAACATGTGCTCTGTTAAAAACCTACAATGTCAAACATGTTCTCTGTATAATAATATGTCGAACATGTACTCTGTTACATACCTACATTATCAACATATGCTCTGTTACATTCCTACAATGTCGAAGTTGTGTTTTGTTATCTATAGGTCCGCTGTCATGAATGTGAAACAACAATACAGGGTTATCAGAACCCGCCTATGTACCACCTGCTAAAATGAAACTGATCTTATATTTCTTTTTTCAGATATTTTTTTTCTCAGAAATTACTAATAAGATATGTCAAATGTTCGAACAGGGATATCGTCCCGATGGTACCCGCCCATTGGCAAGCCTTGTTAACGCCCACGGGCGGATTCCCGAGGAACTGATATTCCGATCCAAACCGCAAACATAATTTTATGTCAGATATTTTACTTGCATATTCTGCTATGTTCCATCATATTTTAAATTACCTTAATAAAACAATTTTCCATGGACACGCCAGTCTGATATGCAAGAATATATCAAATCGTAAATGTTTTGTTGAATAAATATGTTTAAACCTATATATAAGGATCTAGCTCGAGGATAATTATTACGGCGGTAACAAATATGTAATTAGCGATGCAAACAACAACAACAACAACAGTAAACAACATAAATATCTTTACAAAATAATGAAAGTAATCGGTCCTGTGTTAATAAATTACTCCAAATGAATTTTGTACGTATTGAAAAGAATTTTAATGCTCAAAGTGTTGAATAAGAAAGGTTTTCTCTAACTTTTGCAATATATAGAATAGAAATATCAATTTGAAAGACCCTCCTGAACACCACCAGATACGCTATTGCAAATCATGTGACTCATCACGTGATACTGGTCACGTGATACCTGCACAGAGACGGTGCGAGGCGGAAGGTTAAAAGAAAGGACGGTAGACATTTTTTTCTGTTTATCTTTATTTCTTAATACTACGAATTTTTCACTTTAAGTTTAAGGTAATATTTTATTGTTCAGTAACTTTATTTGAGTGTACAATACATGTGGCTATCATACTTATGCTTTAATTCTGCTTTAATCGTTTTATTTTCATGTTAAATATTGGCTGATAAGTTTAATAGCGGTCATAATCTGGGACAATCTGTACGGATTATCACTGTTGTGAAATATGTACGTCCAATAACTTATTTTATCTTTTCACCATACAGAACTCTGCACTACGTAAAATAATTTTGCCGTGCGTTTTGAAACGTATCTGAGTGACACGTACTATCAATTACTATATCTTTTGGAGGAAATAAAGATATTATGAATATCTATTTTAGAATTCATTGATTTAAGAGAAGTCACAAAGTCTTATGTTATATTCAATTAATAGACTGATTTTGTAGTATATACCAGGGGCGTAGCCAGCTTTTTTCAACTTGTAGGCACATAAAAGGGGGTCTGGGGCCTAGCCCCCCGGAAGCCAAAAACAAGTTCAGATTAAAAAGAGCAAAATGCACGTTCCAAAGTATGTTCAAGGAAAATTATCAAAACAATAATTTTAAACTATGAATTTGATTAGATGCATACTTTATTGAGAATGGTAAATCATGCGCACCCACTTGATTCGACTATACGGCTTGAACTCACTACCAACTCCACTGTCGCCTGTTTTATTGTATTTTTGGGACTTTTAAAAATGTTAATTTCTTGACCAACTTGTAGACCCGTGCCTACATGGCCTAATAGTAACTACGCCACTGTATATCAGTATTTTTACTGCTTGACAAACTAAATAAGAGCTATTTTTACATATTCGCACCTGAAATTTTAAGTGCCGTTTTAAGCTCAATTTTGTTGGGTTTTTTCCGAAGAAAAAGGATAAAGTATTGTTAATACTTATTATTGAATAATTTAGATGTGACCTTGACCTTTAATTGATCTTAAACGTTAAGGTCAAATTAATGAAATTCTCTTGTGCCTATGTTTTTTTTTATATATAAATGGGTTAACTTCATACATGTATTTAGACACAACACCTTTTAGGTCAGGACCTTTATGTATATCAAACTCAAATTGACCTTGACTCATGTATGACCTTGACCTTGAAGGTGATTATGGCCATGATTTGTTGTACATAACTTGGTAATTAATCTATATATTATCTTCAGACTTGAACAAACAACATTTTGGACAGGACCTTCTATTAGGTTGGACTAACCTTGATATTGAGCTTAGATAAGTTAGATAACCATGGCCGAATTTTGCTTGTATTTCTTAACTTTGTCATTTTTTATGGGAATGATTCAAACTTGGACAAAACAACAAGTGTGACTAGACAGGCCTGTTTAAAATAGAAAGGAACACCTTATTTTTTTTCTTAGTTTTTTTTTAAAGATTTTTTTGTTTAAACCGTTTACTTGTTTGCTTTTAGAAAAAGTAAAAAAAATCGAGCGTTACCCCCGCCCGGCGGTGGCTCTTTTTAATGTGTAAATTATTTTCTTTGACTTTTTTCAGAAGGTTAAAACTATGGTAACGTAAGTTTTAAAAGTGATTGCCGTAGTATAATTTTGAATATTTCACGTTGTGATAATAAAGTTATTTTATATAAACCATTATATGACAAAAATTCTGCTACAAAAAAAAAACATTTTAAGAACACGACTGAATGGTACTTGTAGAGTTGAAAAAAGTTTGTCTGACCAATTTGTGTGCACTATCTGATTCTGAGAGACGATTATTCAATTTATTGTAAAGTTTTTACTTTGATTTATTCATATTTATAGATCACCTAAGCACAACATGCTCATGGTGAGCTATTGTGATCCCCAACCGTCAGTCATCCGTCGTCTTGCGTCGTGTGTCATCAAAAATTACTTAAAACAACATATTCTCTGACTGCACAGTAACAAAACCAGATCCTTGGGTAGTCCTCCTTCAGTCGTTCAAATGGTTACGGTCTGTTTCATATTTAGGTCATGTGGCCCAGAAAGTGAGTCTTAAAAATGCAAATTAAAAAAAATCTCTTATACTAAGAGCTTTGATATTTGGTATATACTGTCATCTGTAGGTCCTCTATCAAAGTTGTTGAAATTTTGCCTCTAGTGTCAAAATTCTGAATAGGAGAAAGCTATGCGACATTAAACATTGTTTGGTGGACCTGTATTAAGATTGTTTGAATTAAAGCTTTGGGTTCAAACTATATTGCCCTGCCCAAGTGGACATGGTGACTTACCTTCTTGCCTTTTGATGTACAGCCATGAAATTTGGAACATGAGCAGACTTTGAGATATTAGATTGAATTTTAATATCAGCTGACCTAGATTTTGATGATGTGACCTACTTTATTGTACATCAAAATTATGGATAATAAGTTTTCCTACTCTTCATTGGAGGTTATTTCAATTTTTGGACCACGCCGGGGATCAGTACCAACAGTTTACCTGCACTATTATTTATCGAAGCACACCGGGGTTTAGTTTTTCTGTTTCCTGTCTCATTATGATTCCCATTCAAGTTAATTTTCGGAACCCCTTGCCGACTACCATCAATACAAATACAAAGTTTCACGAAAGTACTTTTCCCGAAATGGCAATCTTAGTGCGCTCACGATCGTTTGATGATTTTTTTCAAGAAGTACTAGAATATTGACTGCTTCAAGTATACTGTACATTTTTTGATAGATTAAAGACGAAATAATTTCCTTTATACGCAAATTATTCATTAAATACTGCAGTATAGAATAAATAGAAATAGACGCCGAGCCAATATCTACCTTAGGTAGGTTCAGGTTTCACGATATTCTTTTCCCGAAATGGAATTATTAATCCCGAAATTTGATTAATTTTTAAGTGAATATATGATCTCTGACGGTAGGCCGTATTCGAAAGTAATAAATAATGTGAATAAGATCTAGTGTTGAGTAAATTTTGCTGCCGAAAGTGTGCAGTCCTATATGTGTGTAGTAATGTGTAGTAAAGAATAAATTTTATAAGGTCGTAATAGTGAAATGACTGTATGATAAATCTTACCTAAGAGCTCGCTTTTTGGCTTCGCCTTATTCATGTTATACCATTCCCTTACATGTTTAATTCATTTTCTTCTCTGTTTTTTTTTCTAGAAAACTGAGCTGAATTGTAAAAATGGACGAGGAGTGGTCCAGTGTTGTAGAGCAAGCGCTTCAATATGCATCTCCACTTCCGGTTCTCGAAGTCACATCAGCTGACACTTCCGGTACAGAAACTTCACATGCATGCATTTCCGCTGTGACCATGCCACATTTTAATTCATTCAGAAATGTACAACAAAACTCTAGCATGTTAGAAACGCATAATAACTTAAATGACAGCGGCGATTTGCAACACAATTCCGCGACTTCGTTACACCCACACAGTATAGGCAGTGACGTCATCAGTAAAGACAATAATAGTAACAGATGTACCCAAACATTCCTTGATCTTGTATCAGTTACAGAAGGAAAAGATCATTATGATGACGTCATAACAAGCAATAACTTACCCACCGACCAGACTGGCACTATTTCCCACCACACGGGCAGCACCATTTCCACATCGACTATTAACGAAGAGGCCCCTAGCAGCACTAACACTGGCACCGTGCCAATTACTTCAAGCATGTGCGAACCGTCCATAGAGAGCGAAAGGAATACGGAACCAAAAGTCAAAAAGACCAGAAAAAGAGTAAGGAACCCAGATCCACCACCCGAGCCCATCCTGCCCCCTTGCAGTGTTTGTGATGAAAAGTCTTCCGGGTATCACTATGGGGCTAACACCTGCGAAGCTTGCAAGGTAAATTAATGTTTGACAAACATGGAAACCATTGTTTATTTTCCCATGACAATATATAAATGATTCATATTTTGTTACTGCGTGATAATATGTCACATGATTCGTAAATTGGTATTCCGTGACAATATGTTACATGATTCGTAAATCGTTATTCCGTGACAATATGTTACATGATTCGTAAATCGTTATTCCATGATAATATGTTACATGATTCGTAAATCGCTATTCCTTGACAATATGTTACATGATTCGTAAATCGTTATTCCATGCTAATATGTTACATGATTCGTAAATCGATATTCCTTGACAATATGTTACATGATTCGTAAATCGTTATTCCGTGACAATATGTTACATGATTCGTAAATCGTTATTCCTTGACAATATGTTACATGATTCGTAAATCGTTATTCCGTGACAATATGTTACATGATTCGTAAATCGTTATTCCGTGACAATATGTTACATGATTCGTAAATCGTTATTCCGTGACAATATGTAACATGATTCGTAAATCGTTATTCCGTGACAATATGTTACATGATTCGTACATTGTTATTCCGTGACAATATGTTACATGATTCGTACATTGTTATTCCGTGACAATATGTTACATGTTGTTATTCCGTGACAAATTGTTACATGATTCGTAAAACGTTATTCCGTGACAATATGTTACATGATTCGTAAATCGTTATTCCGTGACAATATGTTACATGATTCGTAAATCGTTATTCCGTGACAATATGTTACATGATTCGTATATCGTTATTCCGTGACAATATGTTACATGATTCGTATATCGTTATTCTGTGACAATATGTTACATGATTCGTAAATCGTTATTCCGTGACAATATGTTACATGATTCGTAAATCGTTATTCCGTGACAATATGTTACATGATTCGTAAATCGTTATTCCGTGACAATATGTTACATGATTCGTAAATCGTTATTCCATGACAATATGTTACATGATTCGTAAATCGTTATTTCATGACAATATGTTACATGATTCGTAAATCGTTATTCCGTGACAATATGTTACATGATTCGTACATTGTTATTCCGTGACAATATGCTAATTGATTTGTACATTGTTATTAATTGATTGAGTATCTATGTTAAGCTATGACATGACAGTAATGTTATGTTATAACGTGACAATATGACAATGAATTGATTATGTGTAATACCTTAAAATGTTATTCAAGTCTTCATGTCATGACAGGGATTTTTCAGAAGAACGCTTAAGAAGAATGAAGTAAATTACAAATGTAAATGTAAACCGGATGAGAAGGAACAATGGAAACGAGGCACCGTGAAAAATGGCTGCGCATCATGTAGATATAAAAGATGCGTAAGTGTAGGAATGTCTAAAGACGGTAAAGTTTATTCAGACTTGTTCGTTTTTATGTCCCAAACACTCGTTGGGATATGCCCTTGTCCGTCCGCCCGTCTCGATGTTCGTCCGCAGACTGAAGTTTATGTTGCATGTTACAAAAAATATAATTGCTGTAACAATGATATAGTCTAAGAATATTTGTCAGCAATTATACTTATGCACTAGGCATACGCCCGTGTTATCCGGGCACATTTCTAAGGATTAGATATGCAAGACAAGGAGTCATTAATTGTTGTTAGTGTATTTAAACTTTTAGTATACAATTTGTTTATATTTCTCAAATTGCGTTTTGATACAAAAATATGTAAGAATTTTATTATTGGTGATTATCGGTGAATAAATGACACGTCATTGTGTCAAATATTTAGAGTGAGGCTTATGAATGTATATCATTATATCTCAGCAAAAATATCTTAAAAAACATTTCAGCTATTAAAATAGGAAGATATACATTGCAACACAAGACGGAAAACATCAACCAAGTGAAGTCTGTAGAACCAGTAGATAAAATGATAGATGCTGCTATGATTTCTGAAAGTAGTCCGTCATCATCATCCGGGATAGGTAAATTTTTATACACATAATGTGCATGTATATGAATGTTAAAGTATAATATGAAAACCACCACCACAGATACATACGCGGCAAATAAGTGTGTCCTACTTTATCTATAGAAAGTACAATTTGAAGACTACTTTTCGATTGCCCATCACGGTTGTAGATGCAAATCCCGTTAGGGATGTCTTAAATATTTCACGTCTGGAATCTAGCACGCGGAGGGCAGTTGGATAGCACGCGGAGGGTCGGTGGTCGATCGTTCTACCGAGGTTTGAGAGAGTGCATTGATAAATCGTCAGTATTCCATCACAGATCAATTTGGTATTTCACAAGCGCCGTATAACCTTTACACAGAAAGATTCCTAGTGGTTAGGGTGCATTACTCTTCACTTAGGGATCGTGGGTTTGTGCCCTACTGGGGTCATGGTCATGTTTTCTTATATGGCGCCAGTACTGGTTAACTTTAGGTAATGAACCCTGAATATTTTATCACAATCTAGCCGGTTATATATATGTTTTAACAAACTATGTCTGCGTTACGTATAACCAATCCCCAAACTTAACAGTTTAAATATGTTTCTGTCCTATGAAATGAACATTAACGTTATCTATTCCTACATTTAAAATATTATTTATTCTGTTTCTTAATATAAAGAGAGTTTAAAGTTGAAGAGAAAATGAATGTCGAATAAGGTAATTATGACTTACAGTAATTCAAAAATTGTTGTCAAAACTAAACGACGGAATAAAGTCTTGGTGTTATATAACTAAACAGATGAAATGAATTTTCATGATTATAGATATAAGTTCCCCTGGTGACGTCACAAGCTCGATTGATGATGTTCGAATCGACGCCGTCACCAAATTATCTATCCACCCAAGACGATGTGGCTCCATCACCTTCTAAAAAAGACAAAATAGTGTGTAGACAGGAAATTGTTACATTAAAGGTAAGTTAATATAATTTTATTCTATGTTTTGATAGGTAAAATAAATCCCGCTTGCCACACATTTATTACAAATCGTGGGTGACGTGAATTGGGCCATGAACATTTTTTGTCTCGCCTTGAAAAAGACGACATATAGGAGTTACTTTTGTCGGCGTCGGCGGCGTCCCCTAATGCCTAAGCCTTGTTCGGAGTATAACTGAGTCACTATAAGATTGACTCCAAACTTGGCATGCATGCATGCTTCTTTCAATGACCCGAAGTGCAGTGCATAAGAATGGTTATTCTGCGCTTCTTAATTTTTGAGTTATTGCCCTTTGTTAATTTTCATACTTTATTTTTGTCCAGGCCATATCTCCTTAAGTATAAAAGCTATGGACTTGAAACTTTATAGGATGATAGATCTCATTGAGAAGAGGAGCAACGAACAAGAACCGGTACTCATTACTTCATGATTTTTGTGTTATTACCTTTTTGGTTACTATTATACTTTGTTTCTGTCCGGGCCAACTCTTCTACACAATAAAAGCTATTCAAGAGATTCAGTCAGTTCAAATGCCACTAAAGTTCAAGGTACATGTACATTGTAAGAGTGGTGCTTATAAATAACATAATTATATTTAAGGTAGAACGCGACACTTTGCGAACTTTCGAGTAGAATATTATTTAGAAGAATATACCTAAGTGACAGCTACGAGGGATGTCCGGAAAGTTCATATACATCTTCATTTTTTATTGTATAACAATACATACGCTGTTTAAATTTTGTCAGCATAAATATGCATATCTAGCGAACACATTTATCAAAAATTATTGAACTGTGACTTACGTTTGTATTTTAACAGTATTTACATACAACATATATACATCGTCATGGAGCACTTGGACAGAGTCAACGGCGTCAAATTAACTTCATGTCTACCAAGAATTCAATTTATTCCGATTTAAATCATGTAAATAGTCATGGTACCTGTCTGGCGTATACTTAATACATGTAATGTTCCTTTGCTATTACTTCATGAATTTCATATTTAAAATTATTATTTAAAATCAAAGATGTCACTGGTTCCCATACAGTGTGTGAGATGTCTGCCTTTTCAAAAATTGTAACGCAATCTACGATATTTCGGCCATGCTACTTTTGGTCGTCTGGAGCGTTTCTTATACGACATCCTGTCATCACCGCTTCTTAATCTTGTTTGACATTTAAACACAAGTTGCCTTTAACATTTTATGGTTGATTTTGTTTTTAAAAGTAAAGATTAAAATCTCAGTTGGCGCCATATTAGCGTTGCTATGAAGTTAAATATCATTACGTTGCTCCGTCCGTGAATTTGACGTCATTTTTGCAACACAAAATTTACGCACCTTCATTGCCTATAATCGTCTTTTACAAGCTGTTTGTTTACGTATGACGTCATAATTTACACTAAATATCATATGATGCCACAAAATTAAAAGGAGAGTTTGCGTTAAAATTACAACTTTTAGCAACTTATTATTCGAGTAGCTATCGTTATGAAATCAAAGTGCTCCGTGATTCGTTGATCATGTTGCCATAGTTAGTGATCGGTGCTTTACAGATATTTATTTCATCATGTCTTTTAATTTAGAAATATGTAGCAAATAAATACTTTAGCAAAATATTCAATCATCATATTGATATCACTGTTTATAATAATTTAATAGCCTTGTCTACGAACTTTCCGGACAGCCCTCGTATATTCTGTTCACAAGGCGACACATCCGACTCGCGGAGTTCTAGTTTTTACGAGGCGAACGTACGAAAGTACGAAAATCGTCATGGGGTCAAAGTTGGCTTGCTGCCAAAATCGTCATTGTCAGCTTTGGTAGGTGCCTGAAAAAAAAATACTGCGAATACTATGGCTCCTGCAGGTTGACGTTTTTTTCTACTCATAATCAGAATCAGAGTCATCCACAAGAACTCTTTTCTTGTGGCTTTTTGAACATAAATCTGTGATATCCATATCCGTATTATAGTAAATTATTATATACCGGAAGTATTTTTCGCAAAGTATAAAACAGGAAAGTCTCTACATGACCTTTACAGTATCAGTTTGACATTACATATGCAATTTGGGTTGTTTTGATTTTTTCAGTAACTTAAATGGGGAAAATGTATGTTTTTCAATCTGTAACAGCTTTTTATATTTATTTCATGACTAAATTATGAGTTTTCTTTTCTGTAAGGCCTTCAACATATAACATCTCGGAATGCGTGGCTTAATTAAAATGAAAATTTTCGCTCCTTAGTTCTCTTTTTACTGTTTTATTTATATGTAAAACTGTTCTGCTGTCGACCTGAAAAACAAGCAATCTTCTCTTTTTAACATAATTGTCGTAAAACTAATCAGATATTGTTCTTCAAACCCCAGGATAACACTAAAATTCGTATACGAATGAAGACTATAATTCACTCGTATGTGCACTACGTCATAGTGCTAGATTTTTTTTTAAATAATCAATAATTGTAAACGTTATATTTAGTTTGCCGGATACAATTTTTATGAAAAACCCCGTTATATAATGCTACCACCTTTATGTATTGGTGACCTTAACGCGGAGTCTCACAGTACTGGTGCTGACATGTACGCTTTTATCTGGACACCAAATATCTCTATCTATTTATAATGGACATATATATCTATATTACAGATGCAATTGAACAGCGTTTTTGTAATGTTACATAAGTGTAATATTTATTCTGATAGTCATTTTGTTTTAACTATTAACAGGAAGTTGAGACGATGGTGGCAGTCATTACACAAGCTCAGACTAAAATGGACTTTGACGACTACAGATTACCTATAGAAGTTATCAAACAGAAACAAACAGAATACTTGGTATCACATTTTAATTTCATGTTATATACATAGTATTAATTATTTATAAGTCTAAACTACAGGAAACAGGTTTATTTTCTTTTTAAGATTATGTCTATGAATATTTATAAATAAAAACAAAGTTTTTGTTAACAGTTTAGAAGATTTTCTGTTCGTATATATAGATCAATACAGCAAACTGCATGTACTTTATTTTTACTTGATTAAACTACTTTAAAGAAGTTTCGAAACAGAAACAGAGTGTGATTTTTTATGTATAGATATAGGAACGTGACTTGCTCTTATTATAAAAGAAATAATTTAAAGGTTTCCGACAAAATATTTGGCAACTACGGAAGTAACATGAAACCCACTTTGCTGCTGCCACACGCATATTATTTCATTCAATTAAATTTCGTTTATCAAACATAATGATGATTCGTGTTTAATAAAATGTATCATTTTTTGCAATAGCCAATGGTTGTTTACTTTTATTTTTTAACAAAAGAAAACTTATCATTAAATCTTACAAAAGTTACCTGAATTTTTAAATATGTTCACATCATGCACAATGGTTATATGGCAGTGTTTTATCTCTCCTTTAATTGGGAAGAGACCTTAGACACTTATCGCTATAATTGCTAATTTGGGAAGTAAAAAAGCTGGGGTTGGTTCAGTTTTTGGGAGAAAACTGCATGATTTTAAAGAAAATTTCTATATATATATATATAGGGAAAATGCCTTTTACAGGCCTCTGTTATATAAAGGGGACAATCACTACATGTATATGTATGCTCGTGATTTTTTATATGTGTGTACGTGATTTCTTTTATATGTATGCACGTGATTTTTTTATGTATGCACGTGGTGTTTCGACATGATATGCAAGTGCATTGAATATACTTGATTTCCTAGTGTGTTAACTAATAAGTTATTCTTCTACAACAGGAAAAATACAACATAAAGAAGGAATTGTTTGGTGACATGGGGCTTTCTAAAGAAGAATTTTCAGAATTCTATAAAATCACAGGAATAGATCTAGATGGAAGGCTGCAACATGTGGACGGGGCTTTTAATTTCTTTGAACGTAAGATTTCACAAGTGGTTGCATTTGCAAAGTCTATACCAGGATTTAAACAGCTATCTCTCAACGACCAGGCCAATTTAATTAAAGGTATCTATTTACAAAATGTATTTAAATGAGGCTATATACTTAATGCTGTTTCTACTAATGGTTACAAAAAATAAATTGAAGTGATATGTTTTTTACATTTCAGTTCAATTCAATATTAAATATATATTCGGCAAAAACATTATTATAAATGTTCGTCGCCAATATAACATATATACAATGGTGGTACAAGTACAAAGAGAAAAGCATGTAGTCCATATTAATTAGCTCTATCAAATTATGTCGACAATAACAAAACAATAAGATACCATAGTTGATTAAACCATATAGGAACTTAGATTATATAACATAATTCACCCCTGGAATTTTTCGTGCCAAAGGTTAGCTTTGTACATATTTAGCAAGTTTATTAATAGCCTTACTCTGTTGACAATTTAAAAAAGATTTCAATTTAAGCAAACTAAAACAAGAAAGTCAAATCTTTAACACAAAAATCAGATTTTTAAAGTTCTAGTGGCTTTCTTGTTTAACCAATTAAGCCAAACTTTCAGAATTTAGAGTCGTCCGTCTCCGAGTGTTTAATGTCGTTGACTTCCAATCACTAGGTCATCATTGCTGTTGGCTCGAATACCGATAGGAACTTTGGAATCTTTAATGTGAGGAGGCTATCCGGCTGGCTAACGGAACGTCGATGCAAGTTTGTGCCTGAAATAATGCATGGAAAGGCACCTAAGTTCTTCCTGCACCAGTAAAGCAGGAAAGTCGCCTATGACCTAATTTGTCTTTATACTGTATTGGTGGTACTAAACCTCTTTCCCCACCCACATCCCAAGAAAATATACTTCCATACTTCCACTATTAACAGCTGGTCAAAAGTAATTGTTTTAGGGATACTAATTTTCAAGATGGCGATCAGTATGGCTGCCATATTGTTTGTTTGTTTTCCTATTTTTAAGGGTAACTTTATTTTATATGGATATACAAGTCAAACAAGAATATAACTTGGTCATATGTAAGCCTTAACATTATCGACAGAATACTAATGCCAAAATGCACACAAAAATGCACATGGAGTATAAAAAATAACCTTTCTGGCCCTTTTTGTGCCAGCATCTTCAGTAAATGCAGCAAAGAAGAAATTAAAACACACATATTATAAGATATTTTACTGATTTGATTCGGTCGTGTGCATGCTATTTCTAGAACCATCCATTTCACCTGAACTCAGAATTTTGAAAAGGACAATACTTTGACCAAATTTCTTTTTTGTGAACATAAATTTAGCGTCAAGAACAGAGAGCACCTTGCTAGGAGGGTTCAGAGCTTTATTGCGGAACTTTGATATGGAGCGACGGGTGTTGACCACGCCCTGGGGTAAGGAAATTCACATGGACGAGCTGGAGCGGATTGTACCTATCCATTTCATTCTGTCTAAGTTCAAGTATGCCAGGTCAGTTATTGATCTAAAACTTACTATTCAAGAGGAGTCAATCATCCGGGCAATTGTTACCATGTTTTCAGGTTTGTAGAGCATATTAAATATTTACCTTCTAATAGTAAGTCAGTATGGTTACTTTGTGGTAAGATATCTGGTACAACGCTCGGCGTTATTTAATCTCGATTTATGATTTTTATCCCTCAATCAACGTTATCTATATATCTTCATCAACGTTATCTATATATCTTCATCGACGTTATCTATATCTTCATCAACGTTATCTATATCTTCATTATCTATATCTTCATCAACGTTATCTATATCTTCATCAACGTTATTTATATCTTCATTAACGTTATCTATATCTTCATCAACGTTATCTATATCTTCATCAACGTTATCTATATCTTAATCAACGTTATCTATATCTTCATCAACGTTATCTATATCTTCATCAACGTTATCTATATCTTCATCAACGTTATCTATTTCTTCATCAACGTTATCTATATCTTCATCAACGTTATCTATATCTTCATCAACGTTATCTATATCTTTCATCAACGTTATCTATATCTTCATCAACGTTATCTATATCTTCATCAACGTTATCTATATCTTCATCAACGTTATCTATATCTTCATCAACGTTATCTATATCTTCATCAACGTTATCTATATCTTCATCAACGTTATCTATATCTTCATCAACGTTATCTATATCTTTATCAACGTTATCTATATCTTTCATCAACGTTAACTATATCTTCATCAACGTTATCTATATCTTCATCAACGTTATTATATCTTCATCTTCATCAACGTTATCTATATCTTCATCAACGTTATCTATATCTTCATCAACGTTATCTATATCTTTATCAACGTTATCTATATCTTCATCAACGTTATCTATATCTTCATCAACGTTATCTATATCTTCATCAACGTTATCTATATCTTCATCAACGTTATCTATATCTTTATCAACGTTATCTATATCTTTATCAACGTTATCTATATCTTCATCAACGTTATCTATATCTTCATCAACGTTATCTATATCTTCATCAACGTTATCTATATCTTCATCAACGTTATCTATATCTTTATCAACGTTATCTATATCTTCATCAACGTTATCTATATCTTCATCAACGTTATCTATATCTTTATCAACGTTATCTATATCTTCATCAACGTTATCTATATCTTCATCAACGTTATCTATATCTTCATCAACGTTATCTATATCTTTATCAACGTTATCTATATCTTCATCAACGTTATCTTTATCAACGTTATCTATATCTTTATCAACGTTATCTATATCTTCATCAAACGTTATCTATATCTTCATCAACGTTATCTATATCTTCATCAACGTTATCTATATCTTCATCAACGTTATCTATATCTTTATCAACGTTATCTATATCTTCATCAACGTTATCTATATCTTTATCAACGTTATCTATATCTTCATCAACGTTATCTATATCTTTATCAACGTTATCTATATCTTCATCAACGTTATCTATATCTTCATCAACGTTATCTATATCTTTATCAACGTTATCTATATCTTCATCAACGTTATCTATATCTTCATCAACGTTATCTATATCTTCATCAACGTTATCTATATCTTCATCAACGTTATCTATATCTTCATTATCTATATCTTCATCAACGTTATCTATATCTTCATCAACGTTATTTATATCTTCATTAACGTTACTTATTCCTCCAGCAACACTATTTATTTCTTCATAAACGTATTTATCCCTCCATCAACGTTATTTTGGAGAGGCAGTAAGAATAATTACATATTTTGGACTTTATAGATCGATTATTTATCTATTTATAGATCGATGCAAGCTGGAAGAGCCTCACAAGGTCGATCAGATTCAAGAGAAGCTTGTCGCGTGCTTACAGCACCTGCTCAACATCCGGCCAGGTGGCGCTGGTTCCCTGTTTTATAAAATATTCAATCTTATCACAAATCTTAGAAACTTTAACGAAAACGAGACAGAATTTACAAAATCTTTGTTACAGGAATGGCCCATGTTGTCGACAAATAAATATCAACTGCTCAAAGAATTCCTGTCATGATATTTGAACATTCGACTATTTGACAAATGTATTTATAATATTATGCATTTTTATTTACACCTTTTGAAAAGAGATAATAAAATCATTTTAATGACTTGATTTATTTTTTTTTATTTTAAATTTTCAACAGTTAACCCTTAACCTCTGGATATTAATGAACTTGTCCAACTTCCATTTTTGGAACTGTCCATTATCAATTTTATAGATAGCAAGATAAAAAAATTAATGTTGGTCAGCCAACAGTATAGAGCCTAGTCAGACTACCTATACGTGCTGACTGGCATAGGTCTGTACTGGTGGTAATGTCACTTTTGATTCCAGCAGGGTAAATGACTGG